TCATATAGGACTATAACTTACTAAAACTTCAAATTCTTTTAAAGAGTCGTTAAAATGTTCAAAACACTTAAATCCTTGTGAAAATGCAAAATAATAACACAAACAACTTTTGCCTCGCAAACATCTTGGAATTCTTAGTCAAAACCCACTTTCAAAATCAAAGAGAGAGGGAGAGAGAGCGTAGACATTTTTGTGGAGTATTTTGGCCCACATATATTTAAAATGTTCACGCAGTCCACGCAGATGGAGACACACACACATGATTGACTGATGGATTGATTGATTGATTGACTGATTGATTGATTGATTGATGGGCGCTTGCACACCATCCCTCCTCCCCCTGATTCTCTAACCGCACACGCACACACACACAATCCACATGTCACACACATGCCCATACACAATCCGCATGTCACACACATGCCCATACACAATCCACATGTCACACACAAACACGAAGACATGGACACACACACACACGCACACTCCCTCTCTTTCTCTCTTTCCCTCTCTCTCTCTCTCTCTCTCTCTCTCTCTCTCTCTCTCTCTCTCTCTCATCGCTTTTTCAATCCCCACGCCGACCTCGATCGCTCAATCAATCAACTTGATAAATTAATCAATCTGATTGATCAATCGATCAATTGATCAATCAACCAATCAATCAATCAATCAATCAATCAACCGATCACAAACAATCGGATTGATTTACTTGGTTGATTGATTGATTGATTGGTTGATTGATTGATTGATTGGTTGATTGATTGATTGATTGGTTTATTGATTGATTGGTTGATTGGTGAAGGAAGAGGACTTGCGACATTTTGCTTTTCCGTTCAACTGTCGCTCATGCTCAATCAAACAATCGATCAATCAATCAATCGGTTAATCGATCAATCAATCAATCAATCAACCAATCAATCAATTCGATTGATTGTGATCGCTTTATCGATTCATTGCTCGACTGATCGACCGATTCAAGGAGTGAACGAAAGGATACTAAAAAAATGAAAAGTCAAAAGAAATTCGCGCGGAACTCGATCAATTGATAAACCGATCACAATCTTACGCGAGTGCGTGTGTGTGTGCGAATTGATAATCCGATCACAATCTTGTCGCGAGTGGGTGTGTGTGTGTGTGTGAACTGGAAAGTGAAAAGTCAAACAACGAAATCAGACAACTCACGCACAAACGCACTCACATACACACATGCAAGCGAACATGACAACGAATTCACACACACACACACGCTCGCCGATTTATTGATTGATTGATTGGTAGAGAGAGAGACAGTTAGACAGAGAGAGAGAGAGAGACAGTTAAACAGAGAGAATACCAAAATCAAGTTCAATCAGCACAACAAGTAACCGGCCGCAAGTATTATTATTATTATTGATTCTCTCTCTTGCTCTCTCTCGCTCTCACTCTGTCTGAACTCTCCCTATCTCGGGCTTCTCCCTTTGTCTCTCTCTTTTACATGCTAATCTCTTTCTCTCTCCTTGTCCCTCTCTCAATTATTATACACACACACGGCCTACTTGTCCCTCTCTCAATTATTATACACACGCGCGGCCTATCCGGAGACACTACTCATTGCCATACGAGAGAGAGAGGGAGACACGTCGCATTGCCACTTACTTGCACGTGCGTTGGATATCCAGAGAGAGCGAGAGAAGATAGAGAGAGAGAGGGAGACAGGGAGACACATGGTCCTTAATTAGCCTATGCCAGTCGATGTCGTCCGTGCAGCGGCCACGTGGTGGACTCGCCATCCTTGCACTTGCCACATGGCTGTCACGAGGTGCCGTCCTTAATCGGCTTATGCTCTCTCTCTCTCTCTCTCTCTCTCTCTCGCTCGCTCGCGTGACAAGGAACCTTTTCCGGCGAGCGATCCGGATTCTGACGTGCATGGTCTCATGTGTCGATCTGCGTGCCTGCCACGTGCCAAAAAAACCCCACCTGTGGGGTTACTCTTTCTCTCTCTCATTCTCTTTGTCTCTCTTTCTCTCTCTCTCTCTCATTCTGTCTCTCTCTTTGTGTCTCCCTCTCTCTCTCTCTCTCGCCTCGGCGTCCTTGGTGTCTTCCGTTGATGCGCCGGACCGCCGGTTGATGTACCGACGGCTATCTCCTTTCCCTGTTCTGTCTTCCGGCGTTCATCCTCCTCGTCTAACTGTCGGATGTAGACGATGAGATCCTCCAAGTCTTTCTTGTCCTTCTCCATGAATCTCCTAGTCTCAGGAGATACCTTCCTCCTTCTCTTTCGGCTCTTCTTGCGGCGCGGACGTGCATGCTCTTCCACCCACCATTCATCGCAAGATGATGATGACAAGTCATCATCATCGATCATCCTCCTCTCCCAAGGTTCAAACGTATGGGCCATGGGGGGGGGGGGGGGGGGGGGGGGGGGGGGGGGGGGGGGGGGGGGAGAGAGAGAGAGAGAGAGAGAGTCGACGTTAATCTGAGGTAAGTATCCCGCTCCTCACTCAACCACAGATCTCGATCCTCCTCCTTGTCGCAACCAGTCACCTCATGTAGACAGCGTGGCCAGTGCCACGTCAACAGTAGAGATAGGTGGCATGCGCCATCACAATGAAGACAGGTGGCAGCACCACCTCAGCAGTGTAGACAAGTGGCGTGCGCCACATCATCAACGGCGACACTTGGCAGCACCACCCCAGCGACGTGTACAGGCGGCAGCGCCCACCTTCCTCTCTCTCTGATCTCACTTAGCGCTGCTCTCTGGCATAGCGCAAAGTGTCGACGTTAATCTGAGGTAAGTATCCTGCTCCTCACTCAACCACAGATCCCGATCCTCCTCCTTGTCGCAACCAGTCACCTCATGTAGACAGCGTGGCCAGTGCCACGTCAGCAGTAGAGACAGGTGGCATGCGCCACATCACAATGAAGACAGGTGGCAGCACTACCTCATCAGTGTAGACAAGTGGCGTGCGCCACATCAACAACGGCGACA